TTTCTGAGCACAGAAGATGTACCTGTTGGGGTGTCAGGAGTAGGTGTGCTTGTATAACAGTAATCTGTGAGAGAAGTAATAGAAAGATGTAAACACACAGTCGTATTAAAGTCAGTCACCTGTAAATGTCAGTTTTACTTTTAAAAATATTTTTCTGACCGTGGTAGTCGTGGCAGCAGTTTCCATAGTACTGACAGGAGCTGGAGCATGAACAGCTGCCGAGGTGAGAGCCACAGTTCCACCTGCAGGAAGGAGGAGCTAAAACAGAGAGAACAAACCTTAACAACAAAAACAACAAACATTTAACAGTAATTGGATTTCATTAGTCATTTAGTCATCAATAGAACATTCACAAACATTTACCTGTTGTGGTTTCTCAGACCACAGTTTACTCAGAAAGAAAACCTCATATCACATTAGCATTAAATAGATTTTGTTAAATACAAACACTATCAGTTATAAAGAGGAGTAATACCCGTGTCTAATGATGGAAAAGAAACCATAACAGGAGCCGAGTATACAAGAAGATGATGAAGGGGCGTTGTACATATTACAACATTAAAAACCTTCATAAATACCTGATGTGGGAGTAGGAGGTTCAGTTGAGGGTTCAGGAGGAACAGTTCTAGGTTCAGTAGTAGGTTCTGTGGAAGAAGGAGGAGCATCTGTGAGTTCAAGAGAACCTGAACATAGGAATTATAGTAGTTCAAAAGACTAGTTTAAAGGACCTATACAGGGTGAACTCAGCAACAGTGGAACACATTTTGGTAGATGCATCAGTTGATCCTGATAAAAGCTATAGATTCATGTGTTTTGTGTTTTCCTGTGCATCCTAGACATGAATGTGTTTAGACTGCATTGCATATAGTTTTTATTTGGATGCTCCAAAAAAAATTAACAGGACAGGACAGAGCTGGAAACTTAAATCAAACAAATTTACTCATTTACTGTAGCCTATTGTAACAAATTCTTAAAGAGCAACAGAAACACATTTGGCTGAACTGATAACAATAATGAACATGGACGAGCTAAATTTGTTTAAAAACAAACATTTTGAAGTGAAAAAAGCAGACAGATAGGCAAGAAACTGTAGATGAGTCATTTTTACTCTCGATAATTTTATACTCCATTCTGTTCTTTCTCCACTGATTGAGCTTCAACTTTTTCTTTACTTTAACCCCACATTTCTCACTGTTTTTACCTGACTGTTCTGATTTATGTGCCACTTTGATGAAAGTGACAAAATGTTAGAACTGTGCTGAATCAGGTCCACATGCAACATGATTCAACACAAAAACATTGATATAAAGCCTGTAAACCTTAAAACAATGATCTACACAGTGTCAGTGTCTGCAGACCAGGAGTTCGCCACCTTTTCCACCTCAAGTCCCACCTATTCATCACTAGAAAGCAAACTGTTCTCTTATCTGGGGTTAGGATAAAATTATGAACTTAGGAGCTCTGTAATAGCTTCTGTCCTAAATTCAGTTTTTACTTAAGTTGTCATGAGAAATACGATTTCAGATGTTTCTTTTATACATCCACTTTGGAACAAGACTCAGACCAATCCATTCTGGTCTTCTATAGACCCTGCTCTGCCCTACCACTTCTAATCATTGCCTAGTCTAGGTTCTAGTCCAGCCTCCCATTGCTCTTTATTGTGCCTAGACTATGTTCTAATCCTGCTTAGCCTTGACTACTTCTTGTCTAATCTTTTTTCTATGCCTCTGGATTCCATTGACCTAGCCTTTAATTGCAGAAAGATACACATATGCCAGAGAACACCTGTTCCCACTTTCTGAGCACAGAAGATGTACCTGTTGGGGTGTCAGGAGTAGGTGTGCTTGTATAACAGTAATCTGTGAGAGAAGTAATAGAAAGATGTAAACACACAGTCGTATTAAAGTCAGTCACCTGTAAATGTCAGTTTTACTTTTAAAAATATTTTTCTGACCGTGGTAGTCGTGGCAGCAGTTTCCATAGTACTGACAGGAGCTGGAGCATGAACAGCTGCCGAGGTGAGAGCCACAGTTCCACCTGCAGGAAGGAGGAGCTAAAACAGAGAGAACAAACCTTAACAACAAAAACAACAAACATTTAACAGTAATTGGATTTCATTAGTCATTTAGTCATCAATAGAACATTCACAAACATTTACCTGTTGTGGTTTCTCAGACCACAGTTTACTCAGAAAGAAAACCTCATATCACATTAGCATTAAATAGATTTTGTTAAATACAAACACTACCTTCCTGTATCGGGGCCTTGTCGAGGCGGAAGGGCTTGTGTGGTCTAGGGATCTTCAGAGCTAAGTCATCGGGAGCAATATGCTCCTGGTAGGGTCTCCCAGGGCGAACAGGTCTGGAGTGAAGACCCAGACTAACTCGATCCAAAAATCCTCTATGAAAAATGGACACATACAAACGTGTACCCCCGGGAGAGGGTCACCGGGACCTACCCCTGGAGCCAGGCCTGGGGGTAGCGTCCTCTGGCGAGCGCCTGGTGGCCAGGCAGCCCATGTAACCCGGCCGGGCTCAGCCCGAAGAGGCAACGTGGGGGGACCATGTGGGCCCACCACCCGCAAGGTCCAGCATGTGCCGTATAGGCAGTGGGAGATTGCGGGAGGGCCCCTGGTGGCCTAGGCCCCTGCAGCAGAAACTGGCTCTTGGTACGTGGAATGTAACCTCACTGGGGGGGAAGCAGCCGGAGCTTGTGCGGGAGGTTGAGAGGTATCAACTAGATATGGTTGGGCTCACCTCCACCCACAGTGTCGGCTCTGGAACCAAACTCCTTGATAGGGGTTGGTCCCTCTCCTACTCTGGGGTTGCACAGGGTGAGAGGCAGCGGGTGGGTGTGGGGGTACTCATGAGTCCCCGGCTGGCAGCCGTGCAGTTGGAGTTTGTCCCGGTGGACGAGAGGGTTGCCTCGATGCGAATTAAAATGGTGAGGAAAGAGAGGAAAACTCTGACTGTTGTTTGTGCTTATGCACCAAACAGCAGGTCGGAGTATTCGGCCTTCTTGGAGCAAGTGGGCAGGGTTCTGGAAAGGGTCCCGCCTACAGACTCCATAGTCTTACTGGGAGACTTCAATGCTCATGTTGGCAATGACTGGGAGACGTGGAGAGTCGTGATTGGGAAGAACGGCCTGCCCGATCTAAACCCGAATGGTGAATTGTTATTGGACTTCTGTGCCAGGCATGGATTGTCCATAACGAACACCAAGTTCGAACACAAGGATGTTCATAAGTGTACATGGTACCAGAGCTCCTTGGGTCATAGGTCAATGATCGACTTTGTTGTCGTTTCATCTGACTTGGGACCATATGTTCTGGACACTCGGGTGAAGAGAGGTGCTGAGCTGTCAACCGATCACCATCTGGTGGTGAGTTGGATCAGATGGCAGGGAAGACCGATGGTCAGACCCGGTAGGCCCAAGCGAATAGTGAGGCTGTGCTGGGAACGACTGTCGGAGGCCCCTGTTCAGAAAGATTCAGAAAGAACTCCCACCTCCAGGAGAGCTTTTCTCATGTCCCGGAGGAGGTAGGTGACATGGAGTCTGAATGGACCCTGTTCAAAACCTCCATTGTGGAAGCTGCCAGGCGTAGCTGTGGCCAAAAGCCTGTTGGTGCCTGTCAGGGCGGTAACCCAAGAACCCCCTGGTGGACACCGGGAGTGAGGGAGGCTGTCAAGCTGAAGAAAGAGGCCTTTAGGGACTGGATGGCCCGAAGGACTCCCGACTCAGCAGATAGACACCGACAGGCGAAAAAAGTGGCAGCCACAATGGTGGCAGAAGCAAAATCCAGGGCATGGGAGGAGTTTGGAGAAGCCATGGAAAAAGACTTTCAGTCGGCCTCAAGGAGGTACTGGACAACTGTCCGGCGACTCAGGAGCGGTCGGGGTGGCTGCGCCCAAGCTGTTTTTGGCACGGGTGGGGAAGCTCTGACTTCAAATGAGGATATTGTCGGTCGGTGGAAGGAGCACTTTGAGGAACTCCTTAATCCAGGAGATATGCCTCCCTCACGGGAGTCAGGGCCAGAGGCTTCTGGCGTGTCAAGCTCCATTTCCCTGGTGGAGGTCACTGAGGTAGTTGGCAAGCTCCTCAGTGGCAAGGCACCTGGCAGTGGATGAGATTCGTCCGGAGATGCTTAAGGCCCTGGATATTGTGGGGCTGTCGTGGCTGGCACGCCTCTGCAATAGTGCATGGACCTCGGGAACGGTACTCTTGGACTGGCAGACCGGGGTGGTGGTCCCTATTTTTAAGAAAGGGGACCGAAGGGTGTGTGCCAACTATCGGGGTATCACACTGCTCAGCCTCCCTGGGAAAGTCTATGCCAAGGTGCTAGAAAGGAGACTTCGACCGATAGTTGAACCTCGGATTGAGGAGGAACAATGCGGATTCTGTCCCGGCCGTGGAACAATGGACCAGCTTTTCAATCTCTCACAGATTGTTGAGGGGGCATGGGAATTTGCCAACCCAGTCTACATGTGTTTTGTGGATTTGGAGAAGGCTTATGACCGTGTTCCCCGAGATATCTTGTGGGAGGTCTGCCGGGAGTATGGGGTGCCGGGGCTGCTACTCCGGGCCATTCAATCTCTGTACTCCCGGAGTGAGAGCTGTGTTCGTATACTCGGCATTAAGTCGGACTCTTTCAGTGTTAGCGTTGGACTCCGCCAGGGTTGTGCCCTGTCTCCACTCCTGTTCGTGATATTCATGGACAGGGTGTCAAGGCGTAGCCGTGGTCAGGAGGGCATTATGTGTGGAGGCAGAAGGGTGGCGTCTCTGCTATTTGCAGACGATGTTGTTCTTTTGGCTGGATCACATGGATGCCTCCAACCCGCACTGGAGCAGTTTGCAGCTGAGTGTGAAGCTGAGGGTATGCGGATCAGCACCTCCAAGTCTGAGTCCATGGTCTTAGCCCGGAAAAGGTTGGCATGCCCACTCCAGGGAGGGGGAAAGGACTTGCCCCAGGTGGAGGAGTTTAAGTATCTCAGGGTCTTGTTCACGAGTGATGGGAAGAGGGATCGTGAGATCGACCGCAGGCTGGGACAGGCGGCAGCAGTAATGCGGTCGCTGTACCGGACTGTAGTGGTGAAGAGGGAGCTGAGCCGTAAGGCAAAGCTCTCTGTTTACCGGTCGGTCTACATCCCGACCCTCACCTATGGTCATGAGCTATGGGTAATGACCGAAAGAATGAGATCGCGAATACAAGCGGCGGAAATGAGCTTTCTTCACAGGGTGGCGGGCTACACTCTATTTGATAGGGTGAGGAGCTCGGCCATCCGGGAGGAGCTTGGAGTAGAGCCGCTACTCCTCCGCATTGAGAGGAGCCAGCTGAGGTGGTTCGGGCATCTGATCCGGATGTCCCCTGGATGCCTCCCGGTGGGGGTGTACCAGGCACGGCCTACCGGGACAAGACCCCGGGGTCGTCCTAGGACGCGCTGGAGGGATTATATCTCAAGGTTGGCCTGGGAGCGGCTTGGGGTCCCCGGGAATGAGCTGGAGGAAGTTGCGGGGGACAGGGTCGTCTGGGATTCTCTGCTCTCCCAACTGTTACCGCGACCCTAGCTGGACTAAGCGGTTAACGACGATGATGACAAACACTATCAGTTATAAAGAGGAGTAATACCCGTGTCTAATGATGGAAAAGAAACCATAACAGGAGCAAAATATACAAGAAGATGATGAAGGGGCTTTGTACATATTACAACATTAAAAACTTCAGAAATACCTGATGTGGGAGTAGGAGGTTCAGTTGAGGGTTCAGGAGGAACAGTTCTTGGTTCAGTAGTAAGTTCTGTGGAAGAAGGAGGAGCATCTGTGAGTTCAAGAGAACCTGAACATAGGAATTATAGTAGTTCAGAAAGACCCATCTAAAGGATATTTACAGGGTGAACTCAGCAACAGTGGAACATATTTTGGTAGATGCATCAGTTGATCCTGATAAAAGCTATAGATTCATGTGTTTTGTTTTTCATGTCCATCCAAAAAATGAATGTGTTTAGACTGAATTTCACATAGTTTTTTTTTGTGTGACGATGCAACAGAATTCAGATGCTCGCGGATGAAAAATGCAAACAGGGTTTTATTATCAGGTGACAAAAGCGTGGTCGAAAAACAAGCGTGGGTCTTAACCAAAAGGCAGCAGAAGATCACCAAAGTGATCATAACACAGGGCAGACAAAAACCAAGGGGAAAGTCAAAATTATCGTCAAAAGGCAGGCAAAAAGGTCAAAACACAAATCCAAAAATACAATCAACAGAGGTACAAAAGGAGTAGGCAAAAATCAAGGCCAGTATAACAAACGTGGGTCAAAACAAGCACACATAGACAGATCAGAAAAAAGCTCAGTATGTTCAGAAGAAGCAATACCTCGCAAGGACCCTAACTAAAGCTCGGGCTGATATACTAGTCTCAAAGAGTCATATGATTTCAAAACACAGGTGTTCATAGTTAATACTCGGGTGATTGAGAACACTGACAGGTGCGTGAACAATTGTCATGAGTCATGTGATCACCCAAGGGATTATGGGAAATGGAGTCCGCTCTGGACTCCGAGACTGAGAGAAGTTGCTCATCCACGTGATTTCCCATGTCCTTCTGGGAAACGTAGTCCGAATCCGCCCGAGGCGTGACAATTTGGATGCCCCAACATAGTTAAACAGGACAGAGCTGGAAACTTACATCCAACAAATTTACTAATTTACTGTAGCCTATTGTAACAAATTCTTAAAGAGTGTAACGCTGGGTTTACAAATCAGACACGTGCGGATAAAAAACGAACCCGGAAGATTTATTTAAAAGGATATAAACAGGGTTAACACCAGACCAGGTCAAAAACCAGAAGAGCCAGATACAACACATAGGAGTAGGCGAAAACGGAGTCGAAAAAACAGGCGAGGGTCGTAACCGTAGAAGAATCATACACAAAGCAACAAAGCCAAAAACAGGAGCGAGAATCGGAAACCGGAGAAAACAAAGCGAGGTCGAAACACAGAACAGCAATCAGGAATATAAACGGCTTGGTACGCACTGAAGAACAATGGCAATACTTCGCAAAGATAAGGTTCAAACAAACAGGTATATATACAGATCAAAACAGGTGGTGAGGATTAGTATTCAGGTGACTGTGATCTACTGGGTGGTTTGTGATTGGCTGGAAGAGTCTCATGACTGACAGAAGGATTCTGGGAAGTGGAGTCCTTGATGGTACGAGTGTTCGACTGAGGACCAGGAAGCGTGACAAAGAGCAACAGAAACACATTTGGCTGAACTGATAACAATAATGAACATGGATGAGCTAAATGTGTTTAAAAACAAACAATTTGAAGTGAAAAAAGCAGACAGATGGGCAAGAAACTGCAGGTAAGTCATTTTTACTCTTGATAATTTTATACTCCATTCTATTCTTTCTCCACTGATTGAGCTTCCACTTTTTCTTTCCTTTAACCTCACATTTCTCACTGGTTTTTCCTGACTGTTCTGATTTATGTGCCACTTTGATGAAAGTGACAAAATGTTAGAACTGTGCTGAATCAGGTCCACATGCAACATGATTCAACACAATAACATTGATATAAAGCCTGTAAACCTTAAAACAATGATCTACACAGTGTCAGTGCCTGAAAGCTTCTCTACACCAGGGGTTCTCAAACAGATCGGCATTGAGGTGCAAAATATTATCACTAGAAGGCAAACTGTTTTCTTATCTCGTCTTAATATAAGATTATGAATTTTGGAACTGTTTTTCTGTAATAGCTTAAGTCCCATTTTCCATTTTAACTTGTCAAGGAGAGATAAAATTTCAATTAGGATTTTTTTTTTTTATACACCACCTTTGGAACAAGAGTCAGACCAATCCATTCTGGTCTTCTATAAACACTGCTCCACCCTACTGCTTCTGATCATGGCCTACTCAAGGTTCTAGACCAGCCTCTCTTTGCTCTTTATTCTACCCAGTGTAGGTTTTAGTCCTCCCAGCCTGAAATCTGTGTTCTGCCAAGTCTAGATTCTAGTCCTGCCAAGCCTTGCTTAGTTCTTGTCTAATCTTCTATACACGCTTCTTAATTTCATTAGCCTAGCCTTTAGTCTTGCTGTTAGCTAAGTAATTAGCATTTTCCTTAGCCCTATGTCCTTATTTTTGTCTTGCAGTGATAGCATTGTTGTGCTCAGATTAGCAAGACCTAGCTTTCCCAGCGTTTCCACTGCTTACTAGGCCTTGTGTGTGTTGTGTTTATCTGTGTTCTGTTATTAGTTTGGGGTCATTAAAACCTCTGCACTTATTGTCCATCCCTTTTTCTGTCTGGATAATTATACTATAGTACAGCAGTTTTGAACATGAGAAAGTTTAGCATATTTTAGAATGAGGCAAAGTAGCATCACTAACCTGAGAACACCCACTGTGCTCGAAAGCCGAACCGAGTTACACTGCTGTCACTTAAGAACTCTACAGTCAGAGAGTTCCTGGTGGAGTTGAAGTGATATCTCTGATCTTGAGCCAGGTGACCCAGCAGTGGGTAAGTATTATTGGGACCATCATACACCCTGATGGAATCGCAACATGCTTCCAAACTAGTTCCCAGGAGAAAGACAGGGAATTGAGAAACTCTATTCCAGCTCAGGGCAGCGTAATGGCTTCATATCACAACTGACACAGTTAACAATGCAAAGCAATTTCACTACTGATTTAGAGTGATACAGAAAATACTGTCTAATATCGCATATTCTGACAGTTTGAACGAATAAAATCATATAAAATGGCCAAATCCATCTGTATGTAAAAGTGAAGCAGAGCTGTGACTCACTCAACAAACGTGAACGTCAGATTAACAACTTGTCTCTCTGATGCCAGAAGTCTCCATGCGCAGTATGCGTTATGAGGGTAGTAATTAGGAAACTGGGGGCTGAAGAATTCTCCTCTTGGGTTAGTCAGATCTCCACCGCATGGTGCTTCAACTGTAAAGTGGAAAGTGCATTTACCTTCGCATAAATGAGTCTTAATGCATCAAATGCACAGCAAAACACATTGTGTACTGTCCTCTCTCCACTGATTGAGTTTCAACTCTCTCCTTCCTTTATGTTGACTTTTCTCTCTGACGTTTCCCTGACTGTTCTAGTTTAGGCACCACTTTGTTAGAAGTGACAAAATGTTACAACTGTGTTTAATCAGATGTACATATTCTAGGTTCACATCCTGCCAGCCTTAGCTCTTTCTCTATATCATGCCTAGTCTAAGTTCAAGTCCTGCCAGCTTGAGCTCTTTCTCTTTATCCTGTCTAGTCTATGTTCTAATCCTGCAAGCTTTAGCTTTATATCCCACCTAGTCTAGATTGTAGTCGTGCCATCCTCAACAATCCAGACTGAGCTCTTTGTTGTGCCTAGACTATGTTCTAGTCCTGCTTAGCCTTGACTACTTCTTGTCTAATCTTTTTCTATGCCTCTGGATTCCATTGACCTAGCCTTTAATTGCAGAAAGATACACATATTCCAGAGAACACCTGTTCTCTTTTTCTGAGCACAGAAGATGTACCTGTTGGGGTGTCAGGAGTAGGTGTGCTTGTATAACAGTAATCTGTGAGAGAAGTAATAGAAAGATGTAAACACACAGTCGTATTAAATTCAGCCACCTCTAAATGTCAGTTTTACTTTTAAATCTACACAGTTACATTCCTTAAACTACATTTTCTGACCGTGGTAGTCGTGGCAGCAGTTTCCATAGTACTGACAGGAGCTGGAGCATGAACAGCTGCTGAGGTGAGAGCCACAGTTCCACCTGCAGGAAGGAGGAGCTAAAACAGAGAGAACAAACCTTAACAACAAAAACAACAAACATTTAACAGTAATTGGATTTCGTTAGTCATTTATCAATAGAACATCAAAATTCACAAACATTTACCTGTTGTGGTTTCTCAGACCACAGTTTACTTAGAAAGAAGACCTCATATCACATTAGCATTAAATAGATTTTGTTAAATACAAACACTATCAGTTATAAAGAGGAGTAATACCCGTGTCTAATGATGGAAAAGAAACCATAACAGGAACCAAATATACAAGAAGATGATGAAGGGGCTTTGTACATGTTACAACATTAAAAACCTTCATAAATACCTGATGTGGGAGTAGGAGGTTCAGTTGAGGGTTCAGGAGGAACAGTTGTAGGTTCAGTAGTAGGTTCTGTGGAAGAAGGAGGAGCATCTGTGAGTTCAAGAGAACCTGAACATAGGAATTATAGTAGTTCAAAAGACTAGTTTAAAGGACCTATACAGGGTGAACTCAGCAACAGTGGAACACATTTTGGTAGATGCATCAGTTGATCCTGATAAAAGCTATAGATTCATGTGTTTTGTGTTTTCCTGTGCATCCTAGACATGAATGTGTTTAGACTGCATTGCATATAGTTTTTATTTGGATGCTCCAAAAAAAATTAACAGGACAGGACAGAGCTGGAAACTTAAATAAATTTACTCATTTACTGTAGCCTATTGTAACAAATTCTTAAAGAGCAACAGAAACACATTTGGCTGAACTGATAACAATAATGAACATGGACGAGCTAAATTTGTTTAAAAACAAACATTTTGAAGTGAAAAAAGCAGACAGATGGGCAAGAAACTGTAGATGAGTCATTTTTACTCTCGATAATTTTATACTCCATTCTGTTCTTTCTCCACTGGTTGGGCTTCAACTTTTTCTTTCCTTTAACCTCACATTTCTCACTGTTTTTACCTGACTGTTCTGATTTATGTGCCACTTTGATGAAAGTGACAAAATGTTAGAACTGTGCTGAATCAGGTCCACATGCAACATGATTCAACACAATAACATTGATAAGCCTGTAAACCTTAAAACAACGATCTACACAGTGTCAGTGTCTGCAGACCAGGAGTTCGCCACCTTTTCCACCTCAAGTCCCACCTATTCATCACTAGAAAGCAAACTGTTCTCTTATCTGGGGTTAGGATAAAATTATGAACTTAGGAGCTCTGTAATAGCTTCTGTCCTAAATTCAGTTTTTACTTACGTTGCCATGAGAAATACGATCTCAGATGTTTCTTTTATACATCCACTTTGGAACAAGACTCAGACCGATCCATTCTGGTCTTCTATAGACCCTGCTCTGCCCTACCACTTCTAATCATTGCCTAGTCTAGGTTCTAGTCCAGCCTCCCATTGCTCTTTATTGTGCCTAGACTATGTTCTAATCCTGCTTAGCCTTGACTACTTCTTGTCTAATCTTTTTTCTATGCCTCTGGATTCCATTGACCTAGCCTTTAATTGCAGAAAGATCTGCAGAAAGATACACATATGCCAGAGAACACCTGTTCCCACTTTCTGAGCACAGAAGATGTACCTGTTGGGGTGTCAGGAGTAGGTGTGCTTGTATAACAGTAATCTGTGAGAGAAGTAATAGAAAGATGTAAACACACAGTCGTATTAAATTCAGCCACCTCTAAATGTCAGTTTTACTTTTAAATCTACACAGTTACATTCCTTAAACTACATTTTCTGACCGTGGTAGTCGTGGCAGCAGTTTCCATAGTACTGACAGGAGCTGGAGCATGAACAGCTGCCGAGGTGAGAGCCACAGTTCCACCTGCAGGAAGGAGGAGCTAAAACAGAGACAACAATCCTTAACAACAAAAACAACAAACATTTAACAGTAATTGGATTTCGTTAGTCATTTATCAATAGAACATCAAAATTCACAAACATTTACCTGTTGTGGTTTCTCAGACCACAGTTTACTCAGAAAGAAAACCTCATATCACATTAGCATTAAATAGATTTTGTTAAATACAAACACTATCAGTTATAAAGAGGAGTAATACCCGTGTCTAATGATGGAAAAGAAACCATAACAGGAACCAAATATACAAGAAGATGATGAAGGGGCTTTGTACATGTTACAACATTAAAAACCTTCATAAATACCTGATGTGGGAGTAGGAGGTTCAGTTGAGGGTTCAGGAGGAACAGTTGTAGGTTCAGTAGTAGGTTCTG